AATGTATAATGACATGCATCCGTACAGAGTAGTTTCACTGCCCTAAATAGAAGCCTTTTTTTGAGGTATGTCCCCAGGTTTTGCCCTTTATCTGAGAACTCTCACACCCATTGCCACTCCCAAGAGTGGACTGTGTCCCCATTCCAACCCCACGTGTTCACACAACCACAGGACAGAGGGAGCAGCTGTCCCTGTGTGAAAGTACCCCAGATGGGTTGTCTGCCCTGGGGATCTGGATGGGGACATCCAGAGACAGGGTCAGTTAGTGTAATCACCAGCCTTGTTCGGATCATGGAAAGACCCACGTGTTTCAGCAGAGGTGAGGGAGCAGCTCTGCACAGTGGGGAGAGGGGAAAAGTAGGTGAGCTGGGGAAACAGGGAGAAGAGATTTCTGTCCTGAGGCAGGGACAGTTGGAGACAGAGTCAAACAGAGGATTCAAGTGATGGCAAGACGGAAAAACAGAAACAGGGACACAGTGAGTCGAAAAAAGATGCCACCGAGCAACAGCGGCGCAGACAGAGAGGAAGGCAAGGCTAGGGCTGCTTTGGCTCCCCCTGGACGTCCCTGCCCGCAGGCCTGGCTGCTCCTCAGTGCAGATTCCAGAAGCTGCCTGGCCACCCTCAGATAAACCCCCCTAAACACCCCCCCCCCTTTCTTCTTCTTCCTCTTCTCTTTTTTTTTGAACAGGGTCTCACTCTGTCACCCAAGCTGGAGTGCAGTGGCACGATCTCGGCTCACTGCAACCTCCGCCTCCCAGGTTCAAGCAATTCTTCTGCCTCAGGTGCCACCATGCCCGGCTAATTTTTTTGTGTTTTTAGTAAAGATGGGGTTTCACCATGTTGGCCAGTCTGGTCCTGAACTCCTGACCTCAAGTGATCCGTCCACCTCGGCCTCCCAAAGCGCTGGGATGACAGGCCTGAGCCACAGTGCCCAGACTCCCTTTTCTTCTTCACCTGATGGAAGGGCTCTTCTTTGCATCCACGAAATGCTGGGTGAGTCAGTCAGCAAACTGCTTGGGAATGATGGGAGCTAGGGCTGCTGTTTTGGGTCTGTTCTGCTCATTTATTTTTTATCATTTTGGGGGGTTTCGGAGGTGGGAAGTCAGTGCTCCTCCCCCCACGCCCCACAAGGGATGGGAATTAGGCATGTCAATCAATATAATACAATTTTCTAAGTATGTCTCTTTGTTCAGACACCAGTATTTTTTTCTTTTTTTCTTTTTCTATCTCCAGTTATTAAGTCATTGCTGCTATAGGACTGCCACTTAAGTGACTGGGTTTTTTTTTTTTTTTTTTTTTTGAGACGGAGTCTCGCTCTGCCGCCCAGGCTGGAGTGCAGTGGCCGGATCTCAGCTCACTGCAGGCTCCGCCTCCCGGGTTCACGCAATTCTCCTGCCTCAGCCTCCCCAGTAGCTGGGACTACAGGCGCCCGCCACCTCGCCCGGCTAGTTTTTTTTTTTTTTGTATTTTTTAGTAGAGACGGGGTTTCACCGTGTCAGCCAGGATGGTCTCGATCTCCTGACCTCGTGATCCGCCCGCCTCGGCCTCCCAAAGTGCTGGGATTACAGGCTTGAGCCACCGCGCCCGGCCTAAGTGACTGGGTTTTTATTTTTGTCCCCAAGGTACAAAAAGTACTACCAGCCGCACACAGTGGCTAACGCCTGTAATCTCATCACTTTGGGAGGCCAAGGCGGGAGGATCGCTCGAGCTCAGGAGCTCAAGACCAGCCTGAGCGACGTAGTGAGACCTCATCTTTACAAAAACTTTAGAAATTAGCCGGGCGTAGTGGGTCAGCTTGTAGTCCCACCTACTCGGAAGGATGGCTTGAGCCTGGAAGTTCCAGGCTGTGGTGAGCCGAGGTCGCGCCACTGCACTTCAGCCTGGGCGACAAAGGGAGACCCTGTCTCAAAATAAAAATAAAAATAAAAATAAAAGCACTGCCTACTTTCTGAACGCGCTCAGGCGGTGTCGCCTCAGGCGATGTAGTGGGGCCGCGCACAGGCTGCCTGGGTGATCTCAGGGGGGAGAAGCCCCACGACGCAGGTTTGGGGCGGTCCTGTCCAACCTCCTGCGCATCGCGGGTGTCCAGAAACGCAGGCTGAACGCTGGAGCCCAGGGCGTCCTCGGTGCGGGAAGCGGCCGCGCGGCCGAAGCGCCGGGGAGGGAGAGCGTGGCGGAGGAGCCGGGCTTCGGGGTATCAGCCGTTTGCAGAGGTCCCTGGACCCCCGTCCTTCCACGCGGAGGGCGTGAAGTGGCGGGGACGGGGTTGAGGAGGCCCCAGCGGCGGGGAGGACGCGACGCCGATCCCTTCCGGTGCTGCTCACCTGGAAGCCGGAGGCCGCTGGGAGTTTGGGGCGGCTGCACGCTCCGGGGTTGGGGGATGCAGGAGCCCGGTCGGGCCCAGCCGCCCTTTCCGGTGGTGAGGAGCGCTGTGCCGGGCTCCGGGGGTCTTGCTCTTTCTGCTCGCCCTCGCGCCTGCTCCGCTGCCGGGCCTGCCCCGGCAACAACAAGGGCCTAACCCAGCTCTGCAGGGGGAGCTGCCCGGCCCTGTCCCACCCCGGCCCCACGCTGTGATCCTAGGGTCCTCAGGCGCCGGCCAGGCCGAGGAGTCTGCCAGGTCCAGCTCGGGGCTGGGCTGCCACCTCCCCAGCGGCCCCGCCTTCAAGCCAATTTAGATCCGGGCCAGCGCTGTGCTGGCGTTGCTTCACTCATTTGCTCACCCATGCATTGACTGACCGACTCCCCCATCAGGACCTAAGGGCCACTGGCACCGGGCCAGGGGTGTTCCTTTAGTTGTGTGTTTTTTTTTTTTTTTAAGACAATCTTGCTTTGTGGCCCTGTGGCGTGATCTTGGTTCGCTGAAGCCTCCACCTCTCAGGCTCAAGCGATCCCCTCGCCTCGGCCTCCAGGGTAGCTGGGACCACAGACACGTGCCGCCACACCCGGCTGTTTTCTTTCTTTCTTTCTTTCTTTTTTTTTTTTTGTAGAGACAGAGTTTTGCCATATTGCCCAGGATGGTCTCGAACTCGTGAGCTCAAGGATCCTCCTGTCTGGGCCTCCCAAAGTGCTGGGAATACAGGCGTGAGCCACCACACCTGGCCTTTTTGTTTGTTTGTTTCTCTCAAAATCACATCACACACAGCACAGGGGTCCTTTAGTCTTTGTGTTTCACCGAAGGTCAGAAATTTTCCTTGATTGTCTTTTCCAGTGGCCAACATCAGGGCTGGCTTCAAGAGTCCTGGAGAACACTTTTCCCTTAAGGATCTGGTGGCTTTCACTCCATTGTTTCAGGCATTGACTGTTGCATGTGAAGTTCAAGGTTGTCCTGATTATTAAGATTTTCGGAAATCATCTAAGTTTGAATTTTTTCTGCATGAAATTTGGGAGAAGTCTTTATTTATTTATTTTTTGAGACAGAGTTTCGCTCTTGTTGCCCAGGCTGGAGTGCAGTGGTGCCATCTTGGCTCCCTGCAACCTCCCACTCCCAGGTTCAAGCAATTCTCATGCCTCAGCCTCCCGAGTAGCTGGGATTACAGGCATGCACCACCACGTCCAGCTAATTTTTGTATTTTTAGTAGAGACGGGGTTTCACCATGTTGGCCAGGCTGGTCTCAAACTCCTGACCTCAGGTGATCCACCTGCCTCAGCCTCCCAAAGTGCTGGGATTAACAGGCATGAGCTACTGCGCCAGGCCATAAGTCTTTATTTTTGTACCAAGTTTAAGAGTTTCCCCAAGAGATAGCTTAGGGTCGGTAGTCTTGTTTTAATTGGTACAAGATGACCCATCTCATTTCATTTTAAAGACTTGCATTCATTTATTCGACAAATATTTATTGAGTGCTTACTATATGCTAGGTTGGCACTGTTTTAAGTTCTGAGGAGAGAGCAGTGAAGAAAATAGACACGCTCTTTGTCCTTAAGGATTTTACAATGGGGTGTGTGTGTGTGGGTGTGTGTATGTATGTGTGTGTGTGGTGTGTGAGAGAGAACAAGTTTTTGATTATTGATTTCCTTCCACCATAAATAAAATGATTTATTTTATCCAGAAACTTTTCCCCTCATACTGTATCTTCACACTTTATCCTAAATGCCTGCCATTTTCCCTTGTTTTCTTTTCATCTCTCCATTAATATCCCTCACTTGCCACATAGGTTTCTCTTGTTTATCCTCTGCTTAATAATCCAGTTCTCTGTAAGCCTATTCATTTCAGCTTCCAGGGACAATCTAATATGATGAAGCACCCAGTTCCCCCTGCACTGTCCTTGTCTAATTTCCCTCAGAATAGGTAATAGCTGTTTTCTAAAATCTCCTTACATTTCATATGAGAGATCTATTTCAGGAAATAGGATTATCAATACAATTTTGCTGCTTTCTTCTTTTACGTCTGTGCTCAGGGCTTTCTCACTGGGATCAGATTAATTTTCTTCCTCTTACATTCGGACCTCCATGCAATTCATGCGTAAATCCAACAAGAGCAAGTGGATGTTTAAACCCTTGTAGCATGTATGTGTAAATAAAAGAGAAGAAAGGAAGGAAGGAGGAAAGGAGGGGAGGGGAGGGGAGAGGACAATTTAAATAGTGCCAGCGAGTCTACCTATCATTCTAGTCAGAGTGTGTGCCCAGAATGAGCAGAGATAGATGTGATGGGAGCCTGTTATTCTCTCAGTGGGTCTCCCAAGTGCCTCTTATACTGTGAGCATCTCATTATGTGGACTGTGACTCTCATGTCTAAAGATGTGTGTTTTTTGGCCAGGCGTGGTGGCTCACACCTGTAATCCCAGCACTTTGGGAGGCCGACGTGGGCAGATCATCTGATGTCAGGAGTTCAAGACCAGCCTGGCCAACATGGAGAATCCCCATCTCTACTAAAAACACAATAAATAAATAAATAAGCTAGGTATGGTGGTGCATGCCTGTAATCCCAACTACTCGGGAGACAGAGGTTGCAGTGATTGCGAGATCACTCTAGCCTGGGCAACAGGGTGAGACTCTATCTCAAAAACAATAAAAATAAAAAAAAATAAGTAAACAAATAAATGTATGGGTAATTTGAGGGATTTTCATGAGTAACTCTGACTGTATGGGATAAAGTCTTACATAGAGATTTTAGAATCACTCCTCCGATAAGATGTGATCCTATCATACTAGACTTGTCAACCACAGTGTCTTGAGAGGCCATGGGACTTCTAACTGACTAAGGTAGGCAGACACATCTCCCTGAAGCTTCCAGTTTATAGGCCACTTGGTAATCTATGGCATGGCTTGGTACAGACAGATGAGATGAGCCAATCATATTCCCCTTCTCTGGAATCTGAAATTGGGAATAACCAAAGGATGAGGCACTTAGCCATGGAAACTGAGGCTTCATGAAATGCACTGTCATTTTTGCAATACCCTATTGGCTACACAGGTCAGCTCCATTAAACATAGAAAGGAACTTCATGGCACAACTCATTAATTTAACATTTGTTGAGCACCTATGATGTGCCAGGCACTGTTCTAGGTCCTGAGGATATGGTGATGAACAAGATCCTCACTCTCATAGCTTACCCAGCAGGTACCCTAGGCAGGCAATGAATAAATATATGAGCAAGACGAAAAGAGAACGCCAGAAAGCCCTAAAGTTTTGGAGCAAAGCCATGAACTCTTTTCACAACTATTTCCTTTTTGAAAAACATCTCTCCACTTGCTGTTGGGTTCTGTTGTTTGTGAGTGCAAGGATGGAAGACGGCGGATGACGATGTCAAGCAGCCAAAGGGGTGGACTGTTCAGGCCATGGAGTTAGTGTAGTAGGAGAATAACAATAATAACTAAGGCTGGGCGCAGTGACTCACGCCTGTAACTCCAGCACTTTGGGAGGCTGAGACAGGCAGATCACCTGAGGTCAGGAGTTTCAGACCAGCCTGGCCAACATGGTGAAATCCTGTCTCTACTAAAAATACAAAAATTAGCTGAGCACAGTGGTGGGCACCTGTGATCCCAGCTACTTGGGAGACTGAGGCAGGAGAATTGCTTGAACCCAGGAGGTGGAGGTTGCAGTGAGCCGAGATCGCACCACTGCACTTCAGCCTGGGCGACAGAGCGAGACTCCATCTCAAAAATAATAATAATAACTAATAACAAAATAGAACAATTATAACAGTATACTGTGATAAAACTTATGTGAATGTGGTTTCTCTCTCTCTCTCTCCCTCTCTCTCTGTCTCAAAATGCCTTATTGTACTGCACTCACCTATTTTTAGATGGTGGTTGACCGCAGGTAACTGAAACCGCAGAAAGCAAAACTGCGATGTGGAGGGACTGCTTGCATCCTCCTTTCAGACCTGTTTGTGAGAGAGTTTTAACTGGAGGGCATCTAAATAATCAGAGAGTGGGAAGAGAAAGGGGTACTCACTTTTTATAGTTTTGTGTTGTTTGTGAATGTTTTCTATTTCATATGTTTGTAATTAAAGCCAAAAAGGATAATGACAAAAAGGAAAAAAAAATGCTATGTGTCTGACTTTTGGGAATTTATTAGAGGGAGTGGAAATTCTACCACCTCCTATTGCTAAATCTCATTAAAATGCCCTTGAAATCAACCCAAACCAACTCTCAGGCACAGCCAGAACAACAGAGGCAGAGCAGAGCTCAGGATCCTGAATCCACACCCCCTAGTCACTCTGGGTGGGAAGAGAAGAAGGGGGCTCGCTTCCCGTGGTTCCCACCCTACCTGGCTGGAGAGTCTGATGTGGGGCGAGGTGTGACCATCAGTGCACGTAGGAGGTGGAGAAGGCAGTTTCCCCCACTGGCCGGTGCCCTGGGCCCTGCCCAGGACGGGGAACTAGGACAAGAGCCCAGCCCTCCAGCATCAGGTCTGGCATGGCTCTGGGAAGAAGGAGGAATAAAACTCACCCATGTCACCCCAAGTCATGGGGCATTTCCAGTGAGGACATATAGACTTAGGAACCCGGGAGAAAGCCTGGAGGCTGGAAAAGCTGAGACCACAGTCAGCTGGGCTGCAGATCTTTGCTCCGCCTCCCTCCAGACAGCACAAGTGACTCAGCCCTCCCCAGGGTGCTCCTTTTCGCTCTGACTCCACGATTTGGCCTCCTCTCATTCACAACTCTATCTCCTCTCTATGTCATTCCTCCTACTCAGGGCTGATAGTCAAAATGTCAAACCACTAATAAAGCATGGGTACCTGCCAGTCAGACTACACACCAGCTGGGAACAATGGCTAGAGGTAGCAAATTGCCCCAAAACTTAGTGGCATGAAACAACAAACATTTGTTACGTTACACACTTATGGGTCAGGAGTTTGGGTGGTTCTGGCTCAGGGCCTCTCATGAAGTTGTCAGGATGTCAGAGTTGGAACCATTTGAAAGTTTGGCTGGGGCTGGAGGATCCTCTTTCAAGATGTCTCATTCACAAGGCTGTTGGCAGAAAGCCTCAGTGCCTCACCATAGGGCTGCTTGAGTATCTTCACAACATGGCGGCTGGCTTCCCCAGAGGCAGACATTCGGGAGCCCAAGGCAGAGTCACAATGTCTTTTATGACCTTCCTTGAAAGTTATATACCATCACATTTGCAGCATCCTATCGGGTCAGCCCTAGTCAATGTGAGAGGGGCTACACGAGGGTGTAAATACCAGGACGCAAGAATCACTGGAGGATGTTTTGAAGGCTAGCTACCCCACGTACTATGTTATGTCCCATTTAAAACTCTCTAATGGCTTCCCAGTAACCTCAGAATAAAATCCAAATGTCTTACCATGATCTGCAAGGCCTGGCATGAACTGACTCCTACCTACTTTCCAATCTCATTATGTTCCTCTTTATTCACCTGCACTAAACTCCAAACACATCAACCCTCCCTACATCCGTCAACATCTGAAGCTCATCCTTTACATTTTCTGCTCCCCCGTCTAGAAGTCTCCTTGCCCAGATCTTTCTATGGCTAGTTCCTTCTCATTGTTTGGGTCTCAGCTCAATGTCACCTCCTCAGAGAGGCTTCACTGACCCCCTTATCAAGTGTAGCCCTCACCCCACCTGTCACTCTCTCTTACATCACCTTGTGCTGACCTCCTCCTAGCACTGATGTCTATCTGAAAGTAATTTGTTTGATTATTGCCTTTCTCCCTTTGTGTACAAGTAGGAGTCCTTAATTACAAGCAACAGACTGCTCTTTAGCTGGTTTTAAGCTACAGAGGAACCTATTAAAGGATAGGAGGTGCCTGATAAAATCTTAGGGAAATCAGAGAACCAGGCTCGGAGGTCATTTACCTGGACTGGTTCTCTCTGCTGCCGCCTCTGGGATCTGCTGTCATCCTGACAGAAAGGACTCCAGGCACCTGCTTCTCAGTGTCACTTAGCCTCATGCAGGAGCAGCCGACGGCTGGTGTCTTAAGTGGTATGCTGTGCCCAATCTTCAAGAGAGATGGGGAAAGTTTTTGGCTTCCATCATAAGCAGGTGTGAGTTCATAAGGTAGGAAATTCTCAAAATAGGAAGACTGTTCCACGGGCTGGGGAAGCCAAAGAGAGCTGATGCTATTTGGCTTCGACAGTCCACGCCTTTAGCTGCTTAATGTCATCAGCCAGCCTTCCGCCGTTAATTCCAGCACTTTGGCAGGCTGAGGCTGGCAGATCACAAGGTCAGGAGTTCGAGACCAGCCTGACCAATATGGTGAAACCCCATCTCTACTAAAAATAGAAAAATTAGCTGGGCGTGGTCGCATGTGCCTATAATCCCAGTCACTCAGGAGGCTGAGGCAGGAGAATTGCTTGAATCCGGGAGGCAGAGGTTGTGGTGAGCCGAGATTGCACCACTGCACTCCAGCCTGGATGACAGAGCAAGACTCTGTCTCAAAAAACAAACAAACAAACAAAAAAAAAAACCAAAACAGAGTTCATGGCTTTGCTCCAAAACTTTAGTGTTTTCTGCTATTGTCTTGTCATCTTGCTCACGTATTTGTTTATTGCCTGCTTAGGGCACCCACTGGGTAAGCTGTGAGAGCAGGGATCTTGTTCATCACCATATCCTCAGGACCTAGAACAGTGCCTAGCACATCATAGGTGCTCAATAAATGTTAATGAATTGTGTACATGAAGTTCCCTCTGTGGACTGATAGTGAAACCTCGCCCCACATCAGCCTCTCCAGGCAGGTGGGATGGGGATGGTGGGAAGCGAGCCCCCTTCCTCTCTTCCCACCCGGAGTGACTAGGGGGTGTAGATTCAGGATCCTGAGCTCTGCTCTGCCTCTGTTGTTCTGGCTGTGCCTGAAAGTTGGTTTGGGTTGATTTCAAGGGCATTTTAATGAGATTTAGCAATAGGAGGTGGTAGGATTTCCATTCCCTCTAATAAATTCCTGAAAGTCAGACACATAGCATTTTTTCCTGTTTGTCATTATCTCCTTTGGCCTGAATTACAAAACATATGAAATAGAAAACATTCACAAACAATACAAAACTATAAAAAGTGAGTACCCCTTTCTCTTCCCACTCTCTGATTATTTAGATGCCCTCCAGTTAAAACTCTCTCACAAACAGGTCTGAAAGGAGGATGCAAGCAGTCCCTCCACATCGCAGTTTTGCTTTCTGCGGTTTCAGTTACCTGTGGTCAACCACTATCTAAAAATAGGTGAGTGCAGTACAATAAGGCGTTTTGAGAGAGAGAGAGGGAGACCGCATTCACATAAGTTTTATCACAGTATACTGTTATAATTGTTCTATTTTATTATTAGTTATTATTGTTAATCTCTTACTGTGCCTAATTTATAAATTCAACTTTATCATAGGTATGCATGTATAGGAACAAACATAATCTATATAGCACTCAGTACTATTAGCTGTTTCAGGCATCCCCTGGAGGTCTTGCAATGTATCCCCTGAGGATAAGCGGGGGGCCTATTGTACTTGTTCATATCCATGTAGGGTTGAGCTGGTATTTCCAAAGGATAGATGCCTAGAAGTTTATCTGCACATTTGCAATGTTGATGGGTTCTTCCAAATGGCCCTTCAAAAGATCGTACAGCAATATAGTGCTCACAGCTGACGGGAGCACTGCTTTCCTTTTGCCAACTCTAGATATTGTCTGTTTTAAAATTTGCATTTATCCGATCCCCAGGGAGCATCAAGGTCGTTTCTCAACTCCAGGCTATCTGAATTTCTTCTCTTGCAAGTTGCCTGCTCTTATCCATTGACCATTTATATATTGGAATATGAAGTTTTATCCTTTGATACGAAGGGGCTGTTTGCATTTTAGTGCTATTTTGCATGTTGCACATATTGTCTATTATTTGTCTTTTATCTTTGTTATAGTCTGTAGCCTTACAGAAGTTTTACATTTTTATGAGGTCAAATCTGTTCATTTTTTTCCTTTAGGGCTTCTGGGTTTTGTGTCTTGCTTAGGTTTTTCCCTTCTCCAAGAATATAGAAATATTTTATTATATTTTCTTCTAGGATCTTAGTAATTCTGTTTGAGGCTGGGTGCAGTGGCTCACACCTGTAATCCCAACACTTTGGGAGGCTGAGGCAAGTGGATCACTTGAGCTCAAGAGTTTGAGACCAGCCTGGGCAACATGGTGAAACCCTCTCTCTACAAAAACTGCAAAATTAGCCAGGTGTGGTGGTGTGCGCCTGTGGTTCCAGCTACGCAGGAGGCTGAGGTGGGAGAATCGCTTGAGCCCAGGAGGCAGAGGTTGCAGTGAGCAGAGATAGAGCCACTGGACTCCAGCCTGGGTGACAAAGCAAGACCTTGTCTTAAAATAATAACAGTAATTCTGTTTGACAGCTGATGCCAAATTGTCCTCAAGAAAGGTTGTTCCAATTTACATCCCATCAGCTGGAAGAACCCTATTTCCCCAACACCCTCACCAGCCCTGAGCATTAGTAATCTTTAAAAAGTTTTGCCAGTGGTGAATGTGTATTGTTCAGCGTTGTTGTTGTTTTAATTAGCATTAATTATGAGTGAGATCCAAAATCTTTTCATGATATTAGTTACTTGGATTTCTCTGTGAACCACAGTCTCCTCTCCTTGCCCCTGTTTTCTCTGTTGGGCTGTTGGGCTTTATCTCATTGATAAAGGGCTGTTTATGAAGGAAATGAGCCCCATGTCCTCATCTGGAGGGTCCCTCTGCCACCTCCTGGCAGTAGGGGCAGAGCAAATCCTTGCCACACCCACCAGTCACCTACAGCTGCCTCCTCCCCTGGACTCAGCACATCCCTAAGTCCCTAAGTGGGCCCTTCCCTTCCTTTCCTTCTTCCTTCCCTTCACAGGTGTTCTCTTTTTTTTTTTTTTTTCCCCGAGACGGAGTCTCACTCTTGTTGCCCAGGCTGGAGTGCAATGGTACCCTCCCGGGTTCAAGCAATTCTCCTGCCTCAGCCTGTTGAGTAGCTGGGATTACAGGCATGCGCCACCACGGCTAGCTAATTTTTTGTATTTTTAGTAGAGACGGGGTTTCTCAGTGTTGGTCAGGCTGGTCTCGAACTCGCAACCTCAGGTGATCTGCCCGCCTCGGCCTCCCAGAGTGCTGGGATTACAGGCATGAGCCACCGCGCCCGGCCTTCAGGTGTTCTCTTCTGAACACATCTTATGGCTAGAGTTTTCACATTCAATTCGGTCCTTACAACTTCTGATAATGAGGACATCCCTTTGTAGTTTCTATTCCTATTGCAGATTTTAAAATACATATTGTTTCAGTCATGTTTAGAAACTTGGGTGGGGACAGGGAAGCTGGAACAAGTGCTCTGGCTGCCGTATCTCCAGTGTTAAAATCTTTTTTTTTTTTTCTTTTTGAGACAGGGTCTGGCTCTGTCACCCAGGCTGGAGTGCAGTGGCACTATCTTGGCTCACTGCAGCCTCGACCTCCCAGGCTCAAGTGATCCCCCCGCCTCAGCCTCCAGAGTAGCTGGGACCACAGGCATATGCCACCACGCCTGGCTGATGTTTTAATTTTTTGTAGACATAGGGCCTTGCTATATTGTACAGGTTTCCAGCTCCTGGACTCAAGCAATCCGTCCACCTCAGCCTCCCAAAGTGCTGGGATTATGCTTGGCCTCCCAGTGTTAAATTCTAAGTCATATACCAATTTCTCTTCTTGTTTCTTGTGGTTTAAAATTTGGTTTTCTCCAAACTTTCAGGTCTAGAATCATGTCATCTGCAAATAATGATCATTGTACCAGGCATCTGACTTTTTAACAAGCTCACGTTTGTGAGCCACACTCTCATTCATGCAAACAAGACTAGGCGGATCTTTTTGAATTGAAAAAAGAATCCACTTCCTGCCCAGAGTCTGCTGGTCAGCAGCACGCAGTGGACTGGATACCCCATAGCAGCTACTGCAAGGAAGTGAGCGAACGCCAAGGGACGCTCGTTACAGGTAACAGCCCTGTCTGGGTAGCATTTGCATCTCCTCAGGTGTGATTTCTTGGCCACTCACTTATTTATAGTAATGTGAATAGTCAGTGGCTGTAATAACATCATTCATGGATTGGTCAAAGGCATCTCTCAGACTTCCCTGAGCCTGGACCCACTTGGTCATCCTCGGTGCTGGAAGCTCTGTGATGCCCTCTTATCCTGTTCTGGGGCTGTCTCTCGGCTTTGGTCCCTTCCTTTCCCCATTTCCCTTCCTCGCCTTTTTTTTTTTTTGGAGGCAGACTCTTGCTTCGCTGCCCAGGCTGGAGTGCAGTGGTGTGATCTCGGCTCGCTGCAACTTCCACCTACCAGGTTCAGGTGATTCTCCTTCCTCAGCCTCCTGAGTAGCTGGGACTACAGGCGCCTGCTACCACGTCGGTTACTTTTTGTATTTAAGTAGAGATGGGGTTTCACCATGTTGGCCAGGCTGGTCTTGAACTCCTGACCTGAAGAGATCTGCCCGCCTTGGCCTCCCAAAGTGTTGGGATTACAGGGGTGAGCCACTGTGGCTGTCCATGGATCCTTTCAAAGCCTTTAAATCGCTCCCACATCCTGGCTTCATCCTCCCCTGCCTGTCTCCATGCCTTTCCGGTGTGCCCCACAGAACATCAGCCCCACGAGATGTTCCAGACAGAAAAGATTCAGGGGACAGTTTGAGAAGTGCTGCCTACTAGGCTGACCTCTTGGAAATGGGCTGGCATGTCAAAGATTTGAAGAATTCCTTCAGTGCAGAC